ATAGTGAAGTGTCTCTCTAACAAGTAGTGTTTCCAGGTGTCTAGTGCAGCGACTAACGCATACAGTTCCCTTTCATAGGTAGAGTTTGACACTTTCTCTGACGGAAGTCTCCTGGACATAAACTCTATGGGTCTATATCCCTTACCGTCGTCCTGCTGTAGCACAACCCCAATCTCATACTGACTTACGTCAGTCGTGACGATGAAAGGCAGAGAAGGGTCGGCAATTTTTAAGACAGGGTAGTGAGTCAGAGCATACTTCAACTTTCCGAACGGAGACTCACGATCTTTGTCCCACATCCAAGATTTTTCCTTCTTCAAAAGTCTTCTCATAGGAGAAGTTATCAAAGAGAAGTTTATGACGAACTTCCTATAATAACTAACAATTCCTAGAAAAGATCTCAATTCAGCTATAATCTTAGGTTAGGGACAATCTCTGATTCCTGTTATTTTCTTCTCTTCGGGCCTTAGTCCTTCCTCGTTTACTATATGCCCTAAGTACAAGACTTCAGGTTTAACAAACTCAGACTTTTTCAAATTCAGTTTAAAGTTGCCCTCGTGCAACTTCTGCAAAACCATTCATAGACGTTTCTCGTGCTCCTCTAGTATTCTACTATACACTAGGGCTGCTACTTTTATTTTTTAGTCCCTGATCTCCGGTTCGTGACTGTTGGCACCCTCTGCAGTTGGCGCCCGTTCTCAAATTCTTCCTCTGGCACTTTCGGATTTCGATACTTGGCGCCAGCCGGCATTCCGGCGCGCAGGCTCAGACCTTCGATTTTGAGTTCATCCCCGAGGCAAATTGCACTTCTGCCCTCAAGATTCAACTTGAGTCCGGTACTTAAGACTGGACTCAAGCCCAGTTCGGGCATTCAGTTTTCGGCCTCAGTGCTTAAGCTTCAGTGTGACTTGTTGCGACATTGTGTTCGGAATCGAAAGATTGCGACTTTGCCACTTTGTGTCTGCGTCCGTCGACTTGTGTCGAGTCTGCGTCGAGTTGAGTGAGTGTGTGTGTGTGCCCTCACTTTCCCTCTCTCTCCCAGCCTCTCTGCTCTGCCTCAGCCCCGTCACAATACATGCTGTTGTATCCCTGCTCATCAGGATACACCTCTCTCTCCCAGCCTCTCTGCTCTACCTCAGCCCCGTCACAATACATGCTGCTGTATCCCTGCTCATCAGGATACATGCTTCTGTATCCCTGCTCATCAGGATACATGCTTCTGTACACGTGACTACAACCCAGCTCCGCCATTCCCATCTGCAGGGCCTCCATATCAGGCGTACTCACTTTACCGCCCGCCGAATCAAGCCCGGGTGTTACGACAGAGTTGAAGTACCCCATAATGATAAAGTGCTGCAGATCCGGTACCCGTGATGGGAGGGTGTTTCACTTTCGCCAACGATCCCCCACATCCGAGGGTCCATACAGGGTAACAATGGCCCACCTCACTTCCCCCCATTGTACCACTACCCACGCCCATCTTCCTTTTGTATCGGAAAACCAGTCCACCACCTCCCTGCGAAAGTGCGGGGAGGTAAGGATGGGCACCCCACCTCTAGTACCCCACACAGGCACCCCACCTCTAGTACCCCACACAGGCACCCATACTTGATGGCCCTTCCACCAGGGGTCAGGCTTACCACATCTCCATCCATCTAACTTCGTCTCTTGCAGATATACTACGTCGATTTAACACCTTTGGCCGCAACCACCCTAATTTTCGTAAACTACTTCAAAAGTCTACCTCAAAAGTAATTTCAAGTTTGGGTGTTGCTGGTCCTCATTTCGTGGGGTGTAAACATATAGTCGTCATTTTCTGGGGTGTAAACATATAGTCGTCATTTTCTGGGGTGTAAACATACAATACTGATATATGTTGTATCACTGCGTGGTGTTAATCAAGTGTGTTCTTTCCCGGTTGGTGGGGCTGGTTTTGGTTTGGACATCGTATTGGCTTTGGTAGTCAGGGCCCACTGGTAGCCCGTCATTGTACCAAAATAGACCGAAAACCCTCAATCTTTTTTTTTTTTTTTTTTTTTTACCAGACCCCGGGCCTCAATCAATTGCTCTAGAGTTTCAAGTTCTTTTCTTCTTCCGTCTCATGTTCTTGGTTTGTAGTACTTTGTCCTTCTGAAT